TGCTGGGCTCCGGCGTGACTCAGAGGCGTTGGAGCCGCGTCGCGGCAACTTGCGCATCCTCTAGTGAAAGAGTACGGTAACATGATTACCTGCTTCGATCACTACTCAGTGGTTCATATCTTCCTTCCACTATCTGGGTAGCTAGCGCCAGCATATTTTGTGAGTAGAAAGGCGGATGGAGAGCAGCCATTTCATAGACGCAGCAACCAAACGACCACACATCCGCTTTTTCACCGTAAACCATATTTTGCACGATTTCGGGACTGGAAGAAAAAGAAGTTGAGACGTCAGACAACAAATCCTAAAATTAGTCCTAGCAATATATATTGTTAATCTCACACTAAGATGATGAAATTATGCTATTGTATTTGCATGGCTATAGACGAAAATGAGAACTCAGTTTCTTCGCCTATGCTTTGCAACTCAGGGGCGTCGCGGGCGCGCTGCGATGCCTAGGAGTCTCACATGTAGCGATAAGTTCTTGTGGCTGTTTAAGACGAATTGAATAAAATACTTGGATGTTCTTGAAACTACCTATCAATGATTTCCTGCATGTACCATTATGATTTTTCTTGAATTTTGACTTTAAAGTGACAGCGTTTTACATCTGCGGCGAGTTCCCGCACGATGTTTTGAAACTCCGTTGAGAGAGCGAGGATGACTAAGCTCTTGGGGGCTTTTTTCTTTGAAATAACAATGTCGTTGTAGCAAAATGATGCCACAGCGTTTTTATCATATTTTAGGTGTGAGGGACCAAGACGGACCAAATTATTTCTTCTACGAAAAAGTGCCTGAATAAGCAAGCACACATTTGGCACCAAATAACCATCTTTGTTGAGGTTATAAAAATTTGTAAAGCAAGTATAAACATTTCATTTCTGTGAGGCATACAAACGGATCTTCAATTCGACAATTCTTCAAAAAATTCTTTACCAATCCATGAGAGTGTAAACCTACCAGCTGTAGATTATTGTGCCAGCTGCGGATTTCAGATAGTCGCTACCTCGCTTCTTTGCCAACCCAAAGTCCGCTAGAATAGAAAATCTATTGTAAAAAAAATTTACCACGTTAGAACTCCGAGATTTGTGAGGCAAGCCCTCACAGAAGGACAAACGAGCACTATCTTATCACTGAGTTTATGTCAGTAATACAAAGTTTCTAGAATAGAATTCTAGAATCCTTTTCTAGAATATTCCAAGGGTATTTTAGAGATGTTGTAGTGGACTAATTATTGCTTAGATAGAGAAAACCCACTTATAACAACCCGGTCGTTTTCTGCAATCATGATGTTGTTCGGCTTCAGATCCCTGTGAACTATCTGCTTGTCTTTGTGTAGATAGCGTAAGGCGAGGGTAGTCTGTAAGGATAATCGTCTTGAATTTCAATCCTTTGTTTATTTTGCGTCAATCTCCCTTGTAAAAACAATAATGCAATGAAGCGAAGAAAGCTCGAAAGCAGAGGCCAAACATCATGAGAAAATGTGGCCATACCTCTGACCACGCCCCTTTTTGGGTGTGGATTTCCTAAATATTGGGAAGGCCCACAACAGTTACACCTCGTATAAGATCCTTCGCGCCAGAAAAGTCAGGTCTAAACTTACGCCCAGTATCGTACACGAGGACGCTGATTGGTCCTCTCAGGAAGAATACGGTACCTGGGCGAGAATTCATAGTTGAGTTTTTCTGCCACTATTGAACCACATAAGCTGCTGTATAGGCAATGGCTTCTGTCTTCAGAATGGCTGTCAGAATGTTTAGGCACCCGGGTTTACTTGGACTCTGTCTTCAACAGGTTGTCGGCAATTTTTTGCACGCATAATTTTACAAAAATTCTGGTCCTACCTGGATAACCATGTTCCATATGCGATCTTCTGGGAACGTCTGCCGTTTCTCTCTAACTGAGTTGATGTGTTCTTTCAACGAAGTGCCTTCGATGAGATCCATGAGAATGTAAAGACGATGATTTTCTACAAAAATCCTCCGGTATCGAACAATATTTGGATGTCTCAGTTGCTGCTTTATTATTTTCACTTCGCTTATGACATCTCCAAAGCTTTTGTCATTGTCCTCACTAGCCAGTTGTACCATAAAAATCTGCAATGTTAGTTTAGATTGTTGATTCATGAATTCTGATCATTGAGGGGTTGTTTACCTCTTTTAAAGCATAATATTGTGCTACACCATTACTAGCCGTTGTACCAGCTTTTCGAGCCGTGTAGACACAGCCGAAAGCACCAGCACCGAGCTGTTCAAGCAGTTCATAGTCAGCCACTTTACCGATTGGATCGCGCTTTTGATTCACAGACTCCCAACAGGTGTTCAGTTCAACTACGGAGGATGAGCTCTGTAAGGGACTGAGTTCTCACAACTTCAAAAAAAGAATTTTTGGTACCCACAATGATTTTATTGTACTCGGTGACCAAAGGACGGTAAGCGGAGAGATCTTGCACATAATGACCAATGTCGATGAACTGCTCGAAAAATGCCGTGGGAAAAACTTTTCGAAACATGGCGCGATTCCTCTCCAACGAGAATAGCATTCGTAAGACTCGGAAGATTGAGCACTGAAATGGAAAAAAAAACTAGATTTTTGTGTCAGTCTCTCTGCGTAATAGCTATCGACATTGTGCTGAGCATCCCTGTACTATAAGCAACGTTCAGAGTTGCTTTTGTGCCGGTGTCGTGCCAGCGCAGTGCCACCTCCGCGCCGCCACCATGCCGGACCGCCCATATCGATCTATAGAGACAGGCACAGCACAGCGCTAGCATATTTTGCCGCGAGCAACTCTGTACGCAGCCTAATGCATGGCAAAGCAAGGGAAAAGGGGTATGAAAATGTAGAGAATGAGACCGGGTGTAAACTTTCGGAAGTAGTCTGCATCTATATACATATAAAACTCAAATTCTGTAAGTGTGTTC